ATTCTCAGAAAGCACCGAGATGGGCCTCTCGACCGAGTCTTTGCCTCTTCTGACTGATTGTGAGGCACTGGCGCAGCGGCGGTCTGGGCTCGTCAGTCAACGGCGGCCCCTGCAGCTTCAAAGCCAGACTCTTGCGTCGCCCGCGCAAAAGAACGGATCGAAGACGAAACGGACTACTCGCACTTCTTTTTCATGCATTCCAAGTTGATGCCTGGCACACTGCTCCTTCGAAGATGTTGGCGAATGCTATAGTAATGTCGTGAGGAACGGCATGAGCACCAGCAACGGCGGAAAACAACGGACATAATGTCATGAGTCATGACAGCATTCTCCACTACAGTTATCCTGAGGATGTTCAACCGCCAAATTCGCTGGCCGACTCTTGAGACACAGCCACTTGTCCAAAAATATGTGCACTGCCACCCTTCCGGTCAAACTACACGAAAGGAGTGAAGGTTGGAGTAGACACCGAGCTCACGGGCGTTGCGACAGCATGAGCATTCGCGCTTTCGCGCCCGAAGTCTTCGATGCTCGGCAGCACACGAACACTGGCTGTGACGTCCCCACTACAAGTGGAAGGTTGCCCTGCCTTGCACAGCAATCGGGGTTCAACAAGACAAAGCCGAAGCCAACAACTGCAGTATAGCATAGGACCCTTAGGGCACCAGCTGGACCCAGTACCTCCGGTACTATCAAACAGCCCAATCCCTGGCCATTCTTTACTCTGAATAGGCGAGGCCGGGATGGGCCAGCAAACGGGATTTCCCAGCTGGGCTCTGCTGTGAGCAGGCGCAGGCGCGAGGTCAAAGTCCTCTCGCTACTAAAGGCCAACGTTTCAGAGGCAGCGCATGAGGCATCCAAGTGACAAACAAAGGCGGCAAGACTTGGTAATTAAGCCCTTCATCGCTACAATGGCCGGTGGGTGGGGAGCTCACTTGGAATGCCGCAGGAAGTCAAAACGAAGCATGCACGCGATATCCCAGGCTTTAAACACGTGTATGTCTCTGCAATGAGAGAGCGATTTATACATTGGACATCACAACCAGAAAGATGTTGGCTTGCTAGGGCTCTCAACCTCACTGAAGCTCGAAGGGGTTGTACTCAAGCACATCGTCGACGTAAAACTCTGTGTTGCCACCGTAGCATCATCCGCGCCCTCCATGTCGGCCTTGGAGATGGGCAGCTTAACGCACTCCAGGCCCAACGAAATGTCATTCAAACTGGAGCGACGGGAATCTGCCGTGCGCTGCAGCCCAGTCTTGGGCGCGGTGACCTCGGGAACGACCAAGAGTCCTGGTGGGGCTGGGACGGCAGGGACGGCCGGGACGAAGCACTCCAGTCCAGGAGGTGGACGAAGGCAGGGGTTTGGCTTTGGCCGGGCACTAGGCTCCATGAGAGCCCCCAGCCCCAACATTCGCGGGTTTGTTTGAGCACACACAGGACCAGGAGGAGTCCCGCTAAATTGCTGCATCTGCTGTGCAGCAGTCAGCTGGGCAGCCATGTGCACCTGTGCAGAAATGCTCGGGGGCATGCTGTACGTAGCGAGGACCGGAGCGATGGCAGTCTCACCACGGTTCACGGTGGAGTGTTGCACTTCCACGAACTTGTCCGTTGTCGTCATCTCCACCACTTCGTGCACGAAGCGACAACCTTGCCCGCGAGCACAAAACCCGTTCTTCACAAAGTCAAAGCAAGGCTTTGGGCTCGGGCGCAATTCTGAAGTAGCATGGGCAAAGGTGCAATCTGCCCCCATCTTGCACTCGTTCGTCTTCCAGAACTTACACATGCGAGTGAACTTCACAGCGTTCTTGGCCTCGGCTTTTGGCATGGCTACCTAACTACCTGGATGATCAGCCGCTACGCGGCTTTTGTGGCGTTCTGGAAATTTGTCGCTCGTGCCGAATCCTTTCGTCCGCACCAGCTACTTCAAGCTCGTCCAAACCAGTAGCATCTGCAGCACGAATTGTCAGCTACCCGTCGCAGGTCTCAGCAGGGGCACGTGAAGCTCAGCACATCTCAGCACCGTCCTTTGAATCCGCATGCACAGACTTCGAAAATCAATTTCGGCGGCCTCTCGCTTTACACAGGCCATACCGGAGTCAAAGTAGTCTGCCACGCGCAGCATACTTGATCGGAATACATGGAAGCACGATTCACCACCTGTCTTCGGCTCGGGGTTGTCCTAGCCAGGTCCAGGTGGATGTAGCAAATGTGCCGTCATCTAACCCCGGATGCAGGCACGGCAAGATCTTGGACCTGCCTGGGTGAAATAAACTCAGCGCCATCACGCACAGTCACATACGTCAATGCTGAAGACTGCAAATCTGACTGATGTTTCAAGTCAACAGCGGCATTGCACACTGCTTTCGGGATGGAGCTTCAGAGGAACTGCAAATTTGTCCTAAGCAAAGAGTCTGGCTCATCCGCAGCTCTTTAAAACCGCTGGCAGTAACCTAGCAACTACATATGTTCTCTGCCTGCATCGATGCACAGAAGTTCGAATCTTCGGCTTCTCGCGCGCTGCACAATCAAAAGTGAAACCGTGGCTATGCAAATAATATTTCGCAAGTTCCCGGGAATCGAGAGATTGACTTGTTCGTTGGTGTGTAGAGTCTTATCAGATTTGCTATACAAGCCAAACTCGGCCCAAGGGAATCTGCGTCCACATCGGTTTCCAGTCAGCTGGTGCCCGCCCCACTGAGCCCACTCACACTCTTATGCCCTCAGCCAATCCGCCAAGATACCGTGTGAACAGGAGATGTAAAACTTGTGTGACCCACTGTTGTCACAAGATGATGCTCAAGAACGGTGAAGATCTCAAATCCAGAAGGACTGCGGGCGGACATCGGGGAGATGCGAAGGCGACGTGCTCAAACTGGAAATCAGAGCACTCAAGTTCTGATTGGAGTCTGCTGGCCGTACTATCCTGTTCGAGGTGGTCGGATGCAGGGCTGCAAATTCCTGAGGATCAAACGCTTCGCTCAAGCTGGATTCCAGGACAATCCCTGCACCCGCTGTCTGGCGAAGATCTCTTTTGGCGGCACGAGCATAGGCTTCGATTTCCCTCATGTGCAAATCAGGCCGGAACCCGTCGCCAAAATCGGAGGCAACTGGGGGGGCGAGCTGGTGCAACTGGGGCACGTTGAAAAACTCCTCTCTCGAGTGGCAATGTCTAACTTGTGGATATAGATCACCTGGCCTGATCTTGGGCTCAGCTTCCTCTCTGTTGGCGGACTGAGCTGGTAGGTCTTTGGGCTTCTTGCTCTTTCGGCAATCCAAAGAATGAACAAATCTGCAAGCCTCCCCTCTCTTGCAGGTGCCGGTCTTGGAGAACTCGAAGCAAGGTTTCGGGCTTGGACGCAGCTCCGAAGATTCGTGGGCAAAGGTGCAATCCGCCCCCATCTTGCACTCGTTCGTCTTCCAGAACTTGCACATACGGGTGAACTCAACGGCTTTCTTCTGCTCGGCTTTTGTCATGCGTGGCAGGGACCAACAATCTACCAGTCACACTGCTGTCTGAGATCAGTTGAAAGCATGCATAGGCCAAGGCTATCTGGCAAAGAAGAACAAGGGCTTCCTAGATGCAGCAGCGAAGCCGGCCTTGCTTTTTTGCATCCAGCGCATCCCAGGAGTCTAGGCGTAGCTATACATGCCTGCCCTGTCATTAACGAAACATCTGCCGAACCTAAAGAAAGCGACGACATGCTTTGCAGCATGCCGCGCCAAGGCTCAGTCGCGACAGCCGAGTTGTTCAGACGCCGCTCAGTCTCAAGACTTGACTCCGCACTCTGCCCTCTGCCCACGGCTTTTGTTTCAGGGAGAGCTCTGACCCGAATCGAGGCGATGTTCCCGACCAATATATGCGCTGTCACATGTCATTTCAAACACCCAGAAAATCAACACTGACCAGGGGCACACAGCAGCGCGCCCATTCGGCGCAGCATGCTTGAACCTGCTGTCACATCTTTTCGGCCTAAAGCGCAGCATGCACAGAACTGTGGCATGTTGTCGCCGCAGCCGATGCATGCGCAAAGATGGCAAGGCTTTACTGGTTGCCACGACCGCTACTAGTACTCCCGTCAGTTTCTGGTCATCGTGCCTGGTGCCACACAGTGGCAGGCTCAGGTGATCCGGACTTGTGCCGACTGCCCGAAACAGCATTTGCTTGGTTGCAGGCATACGATCAAAACGCATCTACAAGCTGCTGGTTGTCCCGGTATCCCTCACCGTGCTCCCCCCAATGCCATTCAGTATGGTGCTACCAGCTCAAGAACTGCTTCAGTTGCACGGTTCGCACGCTTACCAAAAACACATTCTGCTTGCACTGTTAGCATTACTGTCCTTCCCATCCCTTCTGAAACTTCATGTGTAAGTGAGCGTGTGCGATTAACGTCGCTAGTAAATACAAGAACCTATACGAGCTCACTACCGCCACTCCAACGAAGACTACAACTAAATAACAAGCACCACCGCTACTGCGACTACTACTGCTACTACTACTACTACTACTTCTACTTTTGCTTCTACTTCTGCTTGTACTACTACTTCTACTACTACTAC